GTGTGTGTGTGTGTGTGTGTGTGTGTGTGTGTGTGGCCAGCTCCGCCCCCCAGGGGGGGGGGCTGGCTGGCATGTGGTGCTGGGGGATTGAACCGCGGTCCCTGTGCTTTGCTAAGCTTGTTCTAAGTAGCTGCTTTAGACCACTGAGCCATTTCACCAGCCCCCTAGACCTTTTTCCATTTTGTAAAGGTTTTCTTTTGACATAGGATCTTCCTGAATCACTGAGCTGCCCTGGCTCAGCTCGAATTTGTATCCTTCTGCCTCAGCCTCCCGGAGCGAGCGCAGCAGAGCCAGCGCAGCAGAGGGCTGTCACGCCCAGCACACCTCTCACTGAATTCTCCCAACAGCCTTATGAGACATACTCATGTGGTCTTCATCTTACACGAGACACCTGAGACTTAGAGATGTTACGGCATCCACCTACAGCCACACAGCTACGTGGTGGCACCGTGGAACCTGACCGATGCTGCTCATGTCCTCATTGTTAGCCACTGTGGTCCTAGCCTAGGGAAAGCACCAAGCCCTGGCCCAGCACACACTGACGTTACTAAGCAAAACTCATTCTGATTCTCCTTGGCCTTCTTTTTTTTTTTTCGGCGGAACTGGGGACTGAATTCAGGCCCTTGCGCTTGCCAGGCAAGCGCTTATTCTACTGAGCCATCTCCTTGGCCCCCTCCTTGGCCTTCTTGAGTGCTGCTTCCTGCAGGAGCCCTGCAGGGGAACTTGCACCTACGCCTCTCAGGACCTCTTCATGGTCTCTCTCAGCAGAAAGGGCCTTTGCTTAGACAAGGCTTATCTGCTCTCCAGGAGTCAGACACCTGCTTTAACTTCCAGGCCACGCCCACAGGGGCCACCTCCTCCAACCAGGCTTCACCTCCCAACCTCACTCCTGGCTATAAACCCATCAGCGGACTAATCCAGTATCACCCACCCATGCTCCAGCCACCTCCCCAAATCCCCACTATGAGTGCATGAGGCTTTGAGGAAACATCTAACATCAAATGTAACAAAAGCCCACTGGGTAACCAAAGCTGATAGCGCCGCTGGGCGCATCTGTCTTGCCCTCCAGCAGAGCCTGGTCCCACTCTTGGGGCAGATGCTGAGTAGGCGGGCATGGCAGTCTCCAGAAACCTTCTGTGAAGACATCGGGCATCCTTTAGAAGTAGCCCTCCATCTGCTGTTACCATCATTTTCTAGTCCTTACAACTTTTTTGGGTACTGGGAATTGAACTCAGGACCTGATGCTTGCCAGGCAGGTGTTATGCTAGCCTTCCGTCTGCAACAGGGAGCCTGCACCCACTTCTTGGGAGTACAGAGTCCCAGCCCTCCCTACAGGACTTGCGCACCCACTGACTTGCGATCCACCAGCACCCACCATCTGCCACTGAGCCCAGAACCTCAGTGCAGACCCAAAGAAGTGGTCACTGCTGTTTTCCAAGAGAAAACATAGTGAGAGGCTTTTAACTCTAGTTTAGCACTGGAAGTAGCTCTCAGCTTAGTACTTAGTGCAAAGCAAAACCAAAAGCTTGTTGGTTTTTCAGTGGTTAGCTGTCAAAGGCTGAGGGAGACACCGGGA